CAATTACTGTTTTTGGGATAAAGTAAATCATAATTATTAATTATTATTATTATTACAGTGAAATAAATAATATTAGAAATATAATGGGAGATGCAGGGTCGATAATCAAATGAACTACGTTCAATTACTAATGCAGAACGACACGTGTGAATGATTTTCAAGTCATGTTCAAATGAACAAGCGAAGGGGAGCATAAGTGGTTCACGTCATCTCACTTTATTTAATATCATGTCTTCAGGGAAGTTTTACTACTTCAATTAGACAGACATTTCGGACTGTGGTATTTTGACAACATAGTTCTTAATGAATGCAATGAATGCGCTGAGCTTTATTCAGTGTGTGATCTACGGCATGGAACGTGTTGTGAAATACAGTTGTAATTGAATAGGAACAGATTAAGTGAGAGACAGCTTGAATTGTTCATTTGGTCATAATACTATCAATAGTAATAATAATAATAACAATTAACAGCTGAAAGATGTGACAATAATAAGATGGTATGGACAACAAACGAAGTTTGGTGCGGAAACCTCGTCTCATCCCTCTAAACTAATGAGATTCCTGACGACAATAGAAGGTGACGTGAAGTAATGAATTTCTCGTGTGAATGAATAGTAGTTGAGAGAAATCCAAGTAACTGAGCATAGTCACTTTACTGTGTCATAAAATTTTGTTGGTTTCACTGCATTGTGCCTTTTCAAGAGGATGATGGATGAGTCCACGAATAAGAAAGACATACAAATTAATAATTTCTTCCTACATTGCATTGTTGTACTCAATCACCCTTCAAACAGTTTTCTTCATACAACAAGAAGGGAGCCGTTCTGGCGTCATTAGTGATGTCATCGTGGAGATCTACGACGCTCCGATTGAAAATCGTTTTAGTGTCCTTCTTGTGTTTGATTATGAATATTGATGCTTAGCAGAAAACTTCAAGTAACAGCCAATCTCTTTCTGATTGGTGATTTCCCGTTAGCATTGATCGAAGCAATTAACTAAGATTCGTACAACTCGAACACAAGATTACCTCATTATTCAGGTGAACTTCCAAGGCTGTTGACAATATGAGGCCTGTTATCTGCGTACCAACGCGATGGCTGGAAACTGAAAGCGCCCTCAACAAATGCTGATGGAAATATTTGTTAGGTGCAGGCGGATTTCTGCTGTTCAGCCTCAAAATTACTTTGTCCACTCAAGAGTTTACATCACAATCATCAAGTTAACACAAGAAATGTCAATGAGAATGCGCCCGCCCTTTGTCGCCCATTAGGACTGTTTTACATATGTATATATAATCACCTAATGCAGAGACTATTAGTAAACTTTGGACACTATTCACTGAAAATATCGACACAGTGAAGCTGTCTATCGGCTGATCCAAATCAGTCATACAAAGACAAACGCAGGAAGATGAAATAATAATAATAATAATGAAGATGAAATGTAAAATATTGTAATTTATTAGTTAACTTTGAAAGAAATACACCAAACCTCTGAGATAACAGAAACTACAACTACACCGTTAAGGTGAAATTGGAAACGTTTAAATTAATTTGCTGTGTAATGGTAATGCAGAGTATATTTCTTGTTCGACATCGTGCCAGTGACTGAGTGAGTCAGTAGTCACAACGCGAAGATAATACGAAGTAACTGCTAACGGAAACCTACAAATAAAACAAGAGATGTATGTTGATTAGTCCACATATATATGATATACATCGAAGAAGATAGAAAAGCTAGTGAGAGGATTACATGGGATTAGAAACGCAAAAAGATTAACTAGGAAAAATACAAATCGATATAAAATGACACTGAGTGAATATCAACAAAAATAATAAAAACCAATAAAAAAAAGAATACAACAAAGGAGCTATGTGAAAAGACAAAATCATTAGCAAGAAACCAAACAAATTGACAGTTCATCCTAATTCTGTGAGTTAACAAAAACACAGCGAATATCAATATATTAAATTAACAGTGTGCGCGATTCAACAATGTTTTCATAATTTGCTGTGCCTATACAGATCGGTTCTGTACACGCATTGAATTTCATTTTCGAATGGTGAACTGAAACACTCTGTTCAGAAACCACTACCATCCTCAGAGACTTTGTGATGATCGATCGCATCCAATTGTGATTGGCGTGATTGTCCACTGACGAGATGGACGAAAGATTGAAGACGAAAGAAGAAAGAAGCTTCTATTCTCTATGGCAGGAGGTGACGTCTGGTTTTGACAGGGACACGACAACCCATTAATGATTACAGTCATGTGTGACAGTATGCACTGTTGACTGTGCAGTGCAACACTGGTTTCCGCTCACACTGTGTGCATGGGTCATTTGAATTCTGGTCCTAACTGAACTGACTTCCACAAATCGCCTGCAATACAATCTACTGAGACAGACAGAGATCAGCTCTTCCGTTATGGGCACAGGGAGTTACGTCTACACGAACTATTTAGAAAGTCACTGTTTCAATTTTTTTTTGATTTACAGCTTGATTCCACACTGTATTTTTAGTACAAGTATGGAATTTTCAGCATGGATATCGGTAGCCCGAATTTTTCAGGCCGTCCGTAGATATCAGGTGTGCGTCGGTGGGGGTTCGAACCTCGGACCATGTGCATTGTCGGCGAAAGTCCTAACCACTGTTCCACGTTGCGTAGGGCTCCACTTTCTTCTATTTTCTGGCATCTTCTTCAGCTGCCTGGCTCCATGATTGCTCATAATCTCTCATCTCTTCCTGACACGATCTCCTCAATGGTCACCCTAGGATGATCCAGTCGTCTCTTCCCATTTGGATTCCCCTCTACGGCCTGCATTTCCTGTGATGTCATTCAACGGTCTCAAGGTATCCTCAATCCATCTCCATTTTCTCCTACATATTTGTTGAGCGATTGGCTCTCCCCTGTTGGTTTGTTCTACTGCAGAGTTTCTTGTTGCTAATTCTTTCTGGCTGGCCATTTGATCATCAGTATGGAGCCAGCCAGGGAAGATGGCAGCTGTTGATGAAAGTCTGCAACCCGTTGGGAATCTTTTTCGTTACACGCTGGTCAAGTTTCTGACTCGTGTAGAGGGACCGATTTGACATTAGTGTTGAAAATGCGAATCTTGTTCTTTATACTGAGTCAGTGCAAGAGATTTCCAAACTGGTTTCAGGATGATGAAGGTTCGGTAAAGTTAGCACTATGTACATAATTGGACAAAGACTTACGTGGTCCGGAGTTCGACTCATGGCCGATACATTTTTAAACCTTGTCTAGCCTGTAGTGTAAGCCCAGTAAAGGAAAGGGATTTTAAGGCAAGCAACCCCTTCATTCTGTAAAACAAAACACTACTTTTATCGAAAGCCAAAGATTAGCGCCTCTTGGAATACAAAGTAATGAGGAAAAGTTTTACGATAACGTTACAAACTGGTAAAGTGCATAAACTTTTTAAGACGCAACTATTTTTATTTCTGCTTCGTCGATCACTTCTGTACTTGTATGATCCAGTAACTTTTGCAATGAAGCGTGGACAAATTCCTCCGGTTACATTTGTTTTAATCTTAAATTTTATTTATATTTTAAGTAAATCAGATGCAATATTGTGACAAATGCTGAGAATTCCATTCTGTATTATAAGTACTGTTTTTGGAATAAAGTAAATTATTATTATTTTTTAACACACACCCTACCAGCTAGCGATAAAAGCAGTAGACGAAAGAAGAAGAAGAAGAAGTGAGGAAAACTGAAGGAGTAAGGAATGGAAAGATTTTCAGTAACGACAGTAGGCGAATGGGTGATGACATCAATTCATATATTTACTTTAAATGAAGTTATTCTCTAAAAACTCATTCAGTAATGTAAGTTAGTAAATGCAGACACCTGTGTGTAATAAGTAATCACCAAAACTTATTGTATTGTGTATGGATGACGGCGAATAAGTGGAACGGCTATCGAGTGTTTATCTAACTTCGATCTGGCTGGACATCAGTTACTACTGGCCGATGTGAGCAGTGTATCCCACATCAATTAATCAACCAATCAATCAGCGATATATATACCATCATGTGCTTGGCTTTCTTTATTGATTGGTCACGAGCATATCAGGCATTGTAATCCCAGCAATTTCGGTTTCCAAAGGACATGTTATGACCGGAAATACGACCTAGTGGACTATGAGCGAAAGCTAAATTAATGCGTTGGCTAATCTGTCCTAATCGCGCGTGAACAACGACAACAACATCGTCCGTACGCGAAGACAACAGAAAATATTGGACGTTAGTAAGAGAGCTCTTACTGCCTCAAACAACAGTCGAAAAAGGTTGACAGTTCTTGCGTACACATATATATACATATGTTTAAAATGACCTTGAGAAGCCCTAATGCCATTGATAAATTAAGACAGTGAACAACCAATAGGATTTCGAAGGTCATAAGCGTAGGGTGAGAGAAAATCAGGTTATACATGAATAAGTGGAGTGAGAGTTATGTAAACAGACATGCAAAAATGACATGAAGAAAATTAGGTCTATTTATCAGGACATCGGGGGGAAATTACGCCTAGAATTGTGTAATTTACAAATTGAGAATTTGGTCCAACGTGTATCACCAGTTCACTTAAGTAGCTAGATAGAATTCGGATGGTTTAAACTGATGATTCGGCTTCCTTAACTGAATCACCACACCAGATATGCCGCTAATGAGAGCTGATAAACCGTAGTCCCACCCAGTTACAAAATTATGAGCTTACATTTGAAAAAATTTAAAAAAAGTCTTTTAGTAAGAAAATTGTATTTAAACACGAACCATCAACAACACGTATGCATTATTATGGAGAAAAATATAGTGAAAATTTCTTCAAAACAATAATTCCAACATGGGTAAAGCACTCCTCAGTAGTCAAATAAATAAATTCTGTGGATACACACACACACACATGAATATATTGGATATGTGATATGCAGAAATCACAAGCATTCCCCTTCCATCCAGACTATTTTTTATTTCTGTTTTACTTCATATGAGCTTGTTTCCATGATGGTATAGGCTTCAATTGTCTTTTAATCGAAAGTGGAGATGTAAAACGTAGTGCATATTGAGGTCCTCCAGCTTTATCATTTGTACCTTGAAAAATGAAAGAAAGTAAGTGAGGTAGTAAGATGTCTCATAAAGTGGAATCAATTACATTTCATTCCCATAAGTATTTTTTTAAATGATGTAATACTGTAAAAACAGAAGACAAGGGCCAGGAAACAGATCGTTTACTTAGGAAATCAATACATATTTATAGATTTTCATGTACATATTATAGATTATTGTTAGCAGAAGAACACAGTCCTCTGATTGGTTGTTTTTCACAGAAAGTTAATCTTGCATCTCTTTGTGGCTGCTTCTTTAATGTCAGATCATCTATATGCTAACTGTATCCGCCTACGCAAAGCCTTTCTTCTCATTTTTCTCACGACCAATGTTGGGACATAAACATTGACGTAAAATACTGTCTACCAATTTTGAATAGCACCCAGCTCTCACCACAAAGTGACGGCTAGAAAGAACTGGCAACGAGAAATTCTGGTAACAAAACAACCAAGAATCGATTGCTCAAAACAAAGGCAGAAGAAATCGGAAATGGATTGTGCACAATTTGAGGAGACCATCGAATAACATCACGCGCCAGGCCATAGCTCAAGTGGGTCCCAAGTGGGAAACGACGTGTTAGGCTTCTGAGGGTGACATGGAGGAGATTGTGTGAGGAGGAGATGAGAGACTATGAGCAACCGTGTGGACATCTAAAGAGGACCGCAGAGAATACGAAAAGGTGGAGTCGTGCTGTTGAAGCTCTCCATTCTACTCGGAACCAAAGGGAACAATAATAATAATGTACATAGATATGTGACCGAGAAGTATGAATTTATCCCCTAGTCTTTGTCTACTTATAACTTTCGGGCCATTTCGGTTTACTTTCGTGAAAAATTCTCATGACATTTGAAGTGCATATTCAATTACTCAACATAAATGACACTTAAGAATTCCTTATCTTTACTGTAAATATAACCATAAAACTCGATTAAAGTTGTCTGAAACAAATAACCTTCACAGTTAATTTAATTGCAAAGGAACTTGTAAAAACTATTCCGTCCTCGTTTTAGATTCTCCAACAATGCACGTCCACCTATGCTACACTGACGCGAAACAAACACCCAGGGAAAAATCATGTTAAGTTACTAGTCAAATCAATGAGGAGAAATCAATTGGCCTATAATTATGGGTTTCTATTGATTGGACAATATATTACCATTGCTACCACACACACTACCGGAGGATATCAAAGTCACAGAGGATAGGGAAAAGCAAAATAAACCTTCATTACTCTGTAGTCAGAGTGTAGAGATCTACAAACACTTACATTCGATACAAAAAACAAGATCAGAATTCTGTTTAAACAATAAAACGTCAAATCAGTCAGTGCTTCTATATGGTTCAGATACTTGGAGCGTGTCAATAAAACGATTTCCAACAGATACCTTCATTCCATACTAAAGATCAGATGACCAGTCGGAAAGGATAAGCAAAAAGGAATTCTATCAGGCGCGGGGGGTGGGGGAGCGAACCAGCCAAGAACTTGTTACATATGGATTAGACATACAGTGACTGTGAGAAGACCACTAGTGGAACCTAAATGGGAAATGACGACTTGGGTGTCTGAGTGTGGGAACAAGTAAACAGGAAATGAAAGCTTAAGGGGAATTATGGAGCCAGTGTACAGAGTGAAATGGAGATGTGACGTTGAAGCCCCACGTTCTATTCGGAACCCAAGGGAATAATAATAGTAATTATTATTTTATTATATCACGCACTGCTAATAACCAAATATATTTTATTATAATGAAGGGATAATTTAAAAAGCTATTGGTCAGTCAAATTGGAAATTTTTCTTTTTCAATATGGCTAAAGCGTCATATTTAGAAAATTCAATGGGTATATCATATACTCATTTAAATAGATATTGACGAATTACAACTTATTAATTAGGGGGTGAATCAGCTGTCAAATTTCATGAGTCGGTGGCACAGTGGTTGAATGCTCGCCAACTACCCCTCATGTGGTCCAGGGTTCGATCACCGGCCACCGACGTACTTCTAAGCGTCATTAAGCCAGGAATGAAACTGGTAATGAGGGAAGGTTGGGCATGAGGCCAGCAGCAACCCCATCCCGTAGAATTATACACCACTGCTACCGCACATTCAAAGTTCTAGCTAGAAGCCCTATGTTCCAGTGGGAATGTAAAGTGATAAAATAATAACATTCTGTCAAATTTCGCCATCTGCAGAGTAAGTAAGTCACAGTTTATATATATATATATGTATAATATTCCTTTACGTTCCGGCTGGAACATAGGGCTTCAAGCTAGAGACTTCAAGTTTCGGTAGCAGTGGTGTTTACTTTTACACGATGGGGTTACTAGCCTCATGCCCAACCTTCCCTTTTTACCAGTTTTATTACTGGTGTAGTGAGGTAAAGGAGTGCGTCGTCGGCCGGTGATCGAACCCCGGACCACATGAAGCGTAGTTGGCGAGTATTCTGCTGCTGTGCCACTGATGCACACAAGTTCATAAGTAAAGTCCAATTTATTTAGTAATATAAAACATTTACCTGATAATCTAGCGCCTCCAAATGGTTGTTGACCAACTACAGATCCAGTCGATTGAACATTTACATAAAAGTTACCAGTTGTATCAATAAGACGATCAGTTGCAGACTTAATGAACGCTTCATCTTGAGCAAAAATAGCACCTATATATATGTATATTAAGGAAACAATAAACAACTATGTAGTGAATTCTCGGATAAATTCAATTTACTTGTATAATATACACTGTAATCAATATAACGATATTCTCTTCTAGCAATCAAAAAAAGCAAAACAGACATTCATGCAAGGACAAAATTTAGTGAGCTTTTTTGTACTTCCAAGGATTTTTATCTTTACAAACGACACTGTTGCCCTACAGGCCTATTATAAAGGTGAAAAATGTTGTCCATACTATTGATTGTGTTCATACATAAGATCCAACGTAATAGATATTTTCTTTAGTACCTGAGTTTGAGGAGGATTGATTAATAGGAGGGGTCATTAATCATAGCTACTTATATAGTACACACACACACGCTGAGAAGACCATTAGGTGACGTCACTTGATAGACTCTCGAATGGAACACGAATGGTAAACGGCATATTAGGAGTCTAAGAGTGGTATTCAAGAAATCGTGTGAGGAGGAGACGACAGTTTATGATCAACCATGGAGCCAGTTGAAGAGAACTTCAGAAAACAGAGTGAAATGGAACCCAAGAGAATAGTAATAATAATAATGATATTACCTCTCTAAAGTATCGATTGACCATGGACCACTTGAATAACTTCAATTCCGTTCTACTTTTAAATGACGATAAAATATTATTATTGTATTATTGTTCCCTTGGGTACCTAGTGGAACATAGGGCTTCAACTGCACGTCTCCACTTGCCACTTCTGTCTTCTGCTGTACTTTTCACCTACATCCATGTTAGTCCATACTGTTTCGACTCCTCTTCACACGATCTTCTCCATATCACCCTTGTACCGACGACCTACTTGCCGCTTGCCTTACAGGTTCCACTCGAGCGACGGCCTGAAGCACACGCGATGTCACCCAGCGGCCTTCTCAGCGAGTGTCCAATCCATCTCAATCCACTTTCTCCTGCATATTTGTTGGGCGATCGACTCTCGTCTGTTGGTTTGTTCCCATAGTTTCTTGTTGGTGATTCTTTCCGGCCCAGTCATCTGATCTTCAGTATAAAGCGAAGACAGTTGTTGTTGATAAAGGTCTGCAACAGGCTGTTGGAAATATTCTTCGTGACCCTCCCCCCAACAAGTTTCTGATCAGTATAGAAGAACTGACTGACCTGACGTTTGTATTGAAGATCCGAATTCGGTTGTTGATGCTGAGTAACGAATAATATCCTCTCACTTAAATTTGCATAGATAGGACAACCAACATAGAACTCTTCTTGAGGAACGTGACAGAAATAAACTAATGAATTCTACTTCAAAAAGTAGGTTTGAAATTGATCATTTTAGACGATCGATCTTCAAACAATCAATCACTAGTTTGAAAACTGCAGCAGGACAGTCCCAACATGGCTAACATACAACACACGTAGCTAGTTATAAACAGCATGAAGATGAATATGGTTTCTAAGTTGCATAAAAATGAGTTACACTGTCTAGTGGCTATTAACACTGGATGTGTAGCTCTCACAGGCTTATGCCATCGACTTTCAGTAAGTAGATCTC